GCTCTCTGCCACAGCTGCTCCTGCCAGCGGCGGCCACACTGAGTCACTGTCTGTGCCTGCCCCCGGCCTCGGTGGGGAGGTGGGGGGTGTGCACGTGTGAGCATGTGAGTGTGAGTGTGTGTGAGCATGTGAGTATGTGGGTGTGTGCTTGTGTATGTGTGAACATGTGAGTGTGTGCATGTGAGCATGTGCATGTGTGAGTGTGTGTGTATGTGAGCGTGTATGCCTGTGTGAGAGTGTGCACGTGTGAGTGTGTGCGTATGTGAGCGTGTGCCTGTGTGAGTGTGAGCGTGTATGCCTGTGTGAGCGTGTGCCTGTATGAGTGTATACGTGTGTGAGAGTGTGCCTGTGTGAGCGTGTGCATGTGTAAGCGTGTGTGTGTGTGAACGTGTGTGTGCCTGTGCCTTGGGGTTTAAAGGATGGGAGGAAGCTGGCGGGACACTGTTTTCATCTTTCCTTCTGGCTCCTGAGTCTGCACCACTTTTCTCTCGGAAAACTTCCGTTTCTCTCCCTCCCTCCTGCGCCTGTGTCTCCTTTTCTCTCTCTGGCCCCACCGGCTTTGATAGTCTGGCTTTAGGCAGATTGCCAGTGCAGAGACAAGGAGGAAGGCGGAGGAGGTTGTGACATTGGAGTGAGGTGGTGGGGGAGGGGAGAGAGGACCTGAGGGTGCCCGGGCCTCCTCCCTTGTCCTGGAGAAAGGGGGGCCACTCCTCAAACTTTCAGCGAGCCAAGGATGACTTCTGGGGGGAAGAGGGCAGAGTTAAGGAGGCCGCTGGGTGTCTGCTCTGCTGGCCAGCCCTGTCCTCACTCTCCAGCTCATAGGCCTGTGGCCTCGGCTCCTGAGGCCCTGGGCCCTGGCTGGACCAGCAGTGTTGCCAGCTCTGGTATCAGGGCTGGGAGGGGTCCTAGCACCCTGGTCCCCAGCCTGCCTTCCCTCTGCCAGACAGAGGGGGTATGGGGCATGGGGCCCAGCTGGGATAGGGGTGTTACTCCACCTGAATGGAAGTGCTCTGGGCCTGGCCTCTTCCTTCCCTCTCTTCTCCCCTCCCTCCCTTTCTCTCCCTCTCTCCCTCCCTCTTCCCCCTCATCTCTGTATCCCTCATGCCTTCCCCTTGTCCCTAGCGGATGTTCGATGTTCGAAAGAAGGGGCGCATTCTAAGGCCTGAGCTCTTCTCAGTGCCAAGAGCTGGGAGGCAGTTGCAGCTGGGATGGGGCCCCCGAGGCTGGAGGGTGGGAGGGACTGCGGCTCCATGGCCCAGGCTTTATGCCTTTTCCTTTGCCACCTGCGGCCAGAGGTCGGGCCAGCTGTTATTTCGGGCCCTGCCCCCGGGAATGGCCTGCAGGTGACAATGGGGCCTGTGCCTTTAGCCGGGGTGGGGGTGACGAGGTGTGGGCCTCACCCCTGGGCTCTTGTCTGCCTGTCCCCAGGCCGAGCGAGTCTTCACGACAAAGCTTCGCTGCGGCTGGAGCAGGTTCGCTCTGAGGACCAGGGCTGGTACGAGTGCAAAGTGCTCATGCTGGACCAGCAGTATGACACCTTCCACAACGGCAGCTGGGTGCACCTCACCATCAACGGTGAGTACGGTCCTCCTCCCGGGCCGGGAGCCCCCAGAAGCCTGCTGCCTGAGGGCCTGCTGGAGGGGAAGCCTCTTTTCGGGTGGCACCCCATCGCTACTCCCAGTCCCTGCTGCAGAGAGGAGCCTCAGTACACTGGGCCCCCCTCCACACCCCTCAGCTGGCTCCTCGGAGCCTCGGGTCAGTGGGAGCCTGGAGGAGCTGCCCCCTGGGTGCGGGGCAGGGGTGTGCTGTGTGTGGTGTGTGTGTGGGGGGGCAGGGGGGGGTGATTCCTCCCTTACTGGGAGGAAGGCATCTGGTTCTTAAAACCAGGGCTAAGGCTTAGTGGAGGCACCATTCCCAGCCTCGGAGAGACCCTGCCAGCCAGGAAATGCCTCCCCCCTTCAGTGGAGTTCCCAGAGTCCCCCCATTACTGCCTTCCTTTGCAGGGTGACATTTTGGTTCCTTGTGAAATGCATTCATTTGCGTACGATGTGCTGAGGGCCTACTGTGCACCACGCTCTGCACCAGGTGCTGGGAAGACGAAGCTGAGTGCACCCGGTTCAGCCCCTGCCCGGACCGGGTTTACTGTCTCCTAAACCAGGAGGATCCTGGGAAGGGGAACAGTTTTAATGGCTGTCAGTTATGGAGAGCTCAGCCTGAATGAGTTGTGCTGTGTGCCATGCTTTTCCAGCGTTTGGGCAAGGAGGCCCATGTGGAGGCTGCAGGGGAGCCTGCTGGCTCTGTGTTGGCCCAGGCGGGGGGCTGGGTCACCCTGGCTGGAGAGCCCCGTCTGTCACTGGGCGTCCTCACTTGAGAAGGCCTCCTCTGGAGGAGGCAGGAGGAGCTGGGGAACAATGGAAGGAGAGTGAACCCCATTGTGCGGGGGGAGCAGATGTTTGTGTCTTGTCGTTCTGGCTAGACCCTCACTCTTCCTTATTCAGCGTTTGGCGAAATGTATTCAGCCACACTGTGCTGCGGACACTATGCTAGTTCCCGAGGCTTGGACGGCGCATGGGCTTGGGCGAGCACACACAGCTGGGTCCTCATGGCTCTGATGTCTGCGACTGGAGGTGCCGTGGTCGGGAGAGGGATGGATGGCGTCCCGCTCGGATGCTTCTCACCATTGACCTGCCCCGACCTGAGGGATGGCTCCGTCTGCCCACCTGTGGGGCTGGGTCGTCCTCCCAGGGCTCGGGTCCGGCGGGCCCAACCCATCCAGGGTCCTGGGAACACAGAGCATTTGAGCCCGAGCGCTGACCTCTGGGAAGACCAGACTTAGAGGTGGCCGCCTGGGCCCGTGTTGGTCCAGGCTGCTGGACCCATTCGATGTAGCCGGCTCGCATCTGCCAGGCCCCAGAGACTGATGGGAGGCTGGCTTTAAATCCTGGGTGGGCTGTCCCTACCACCTGGCAAGCTTTTGAGTCACCTCCTTTGGCTGCAAGCTGTTGTGTGTGCCGGGAATGAAAACTCATCTTAATATTAGCCCCAGCAAAACATCATTAGGGAGGCACACCCGCGGCTGAAAGCCTCACTGACGGCTGAGCCAGGAGTCCCCACGCTGCTCTGTCTCTCCTGTGCCCTCTCCTGCACCGGCTCAGCTTCCCTGGCGCCTCTGCTCCTCCTGTCCTCCTGCTGGTGTTCATTCAGCAGCCTGAGACCCAGGCGTCCGTAGACACTACTTGCCGGGCAGGGGGTAGGGTTGTGTGTTTGGTACAGCCTCTGCCTTCATTTGCATGAGTGGGAGTCGATTCTTCGGGGACTCCTGATTGCTCGGAGTGGAACCGGCATGGAATAAGAGGCTGCGGACACTTGGTTGATGTCATGAATCCATCACGGGGTAGCTGTCTGATCCTGGGCGACTTAAGTCACCTCTCTGAGCCACGGTTTTCTCAGTTACCAAGCACAGTGCCTATTGGCAAAGCCGCCGTGAGGATTAAGGGCAGCGCTGTGTGAGAACGTGCCTGGCCCGGTGTCTGAAGGGTTCATGACCTGTGGGTAATTATGGGTAAGATGCTAGCCATCTTCCTTCTTGAGAGAAAAAAACCAAAACACACACAGATGAAATCAGAGGAGAGGGTGGCCGCAGGGATATGTGGTGACACAGGAAGGACTTCAGGCTGCAAGATGCAGAGGGCTGTCATGGTTTGAAAGTGCTTGTGCGTCACCAATCATTACCCATTCAAATCCCAGCGTCCGCTCTGTGGCAGGCTCTGTGGGCACAGCGGTGGGCAGCCACGTCCAGAGACGGTTTGATATGGGCTTTGGGAGCGTCTCTGGGGGAACCACCCTGTGCAGAGAGAGAGACCTGGGCAGGGACGGGGAGTGAGCCAGGTGCAGGGTGGGGCGGTGGGGAAGAGTGCTCCAGGCAGAGGGAACAGCATGCACGGAAGCCCAGAGGAAGGCGAGCCAGCCCGCTCAGGGCTCAGGGAACGCAGGCAGGTTATTTATATAGGAGTGTTCGGTGGGAAAGCTAAGGATGTGCACCATCTGCTCCAGGCTTTCGAACCAGGCTCCTCACTTGCCTTTACCGAGGAGCCTACCTCCCAAATAGGTAGGACAAGCACAGACAGCTCCCACGGTGAGCGGGAGACCGCTCTCCTTTCTTCTCCCTTCCCTTCATCTCCTTTCTTCTCCCTTCCCTTCATCCCAGCGTCCATGCTGTCCTGGCTGAGGAGGCTGGAGCCCCCACCACGCCACGGCTTCCAAACTAGAACGTTTAATGTCAGGCATTTTCTGACAGGGATCACCTTTGGAAAATGGAAAGGCCAGTGAAAAATTAGAATTACAAATTGTCTCCTTCTCCTTCTGCGTTTTCTTGAAGATCGGTTGTGTGGAAACAAACCCAATTATTTCTTGATCACATACAAAATACCTCCCTCGCCTCCCCGCAGCCCCCCCCCGCCCCTTCACCACCCTAGCCAAGCCTCCCTTTGGGTTGGTGAGTTCCTTGGAGGCGAGGCCAGCCCATGTCTAACCTGCACTGGTAATTATAGGGCACTTGTAGAAAAGAATGAAGCCTGGAACGCAGCTGGCAAGCTAACACCGAATTCAGTAAATAATCCAGACTCAAACCATTATTTTCCTGAAAACTTGAAATTGTTCAAAGTACTTTCCTGATTAGCACCTAAATAATAAAGTAATTATGTAATTAGTAATTAATTTGTCACTTCAGGACATAATTTAATTTATTATCTTTCTTTTAAGCTTGATGCCAGAGGCAGTGGAGCCTGTGGCTGTATTCCCTGTGTTTCCAGGGGCAGGCTTGGTGGTGGTGGGGGCGCGGGTGAGGGGGTGAAGGCGGCAG